CAAACCAAACAAACCGAACAACATCATAAACCAAACCAAACTCTGTTCCAAGTTCCAACCTCCATATGAGCTTAGAACTCAGTCTACAACGAATTGCAATCACCGACAACAAAAGGACAACGGACTCCGATTGTGACACACTACTAACAACATCAAAATGCTGCAAATAGGCACCACCGGAGAAGCCACCGACGGAAGCTCCGATGGCCGGACGGTGGTGGTGGGGGTGAAAATGGACTCTCACAGCAGAGAGTTGCTCACTTGGGCTATGGTCAAAGTTGCTCAACCTGGTGATGTTGTGGTTGCTCTTCATGTCCTTGGGAATGATGGTAAGCCAAGACATGATGATCTTTCGTGGACAAAGAAGACATAAACCCATACTTAGCAGCCTTCATTGCAAATTCGACCATAAAAACATTGATTTCATATTCAAAACGCATGAGTTCTTCAAGATATATTGCTCCAAAAGATAACTCTACGAAATGATGTAATCAGCAAGATGTTATAAAAAAGATGTCATCAGAAATTTAATAACAACACGGTGAAAGACGCTAAATACGTAAATAACCATTCACATTAGCATCAAACCTTCTGTCCTATAAAACGAAAAAGAGAGAATCAGTATACAAAAAATGAAAACAAATTCATAGCATTTGTTTATAAAGTAACCGAAAATAATAACAATACAACAACTCCTACACACACAAATAAAGAAAGAAAAAACGCAGGCAAGCCAAAAAAATAAGAAACAACACTTCCCTATTTATACAAAAGCTCAATGCGCTGTTTAAGAAGCACCGCTCAGTAGATTAAAGATGTTTCTTGAAAACAGCCAAATGAATAAGCCCAACATTTTCCAAGGCAGAAGGTAGTGGGATGTTGTTGCATTGAAAAATTGAACTGCAATTAAAGCTGCACTACTTTCACGAAAATGAATTAATTACAATTTTAATTTAAATTAATTTTAAAAATTTAAAATAATTCAAAATGTTTCCAAAAGAGGAAAATATTTAAATTTAAGTAGTGTGAACACAGAGCTGAAATCGCATGAGAATTTGACACGTCAGCAAAGTTGCCAACATTGGTTTTACTTTAGAATATATATATACTAGTGAATTACCCGTGCGATGCCCGGGGGAAAAAGAATGAAATTGTTATGGCCGTCGTTTGTTAATCATCTCACCGATAAAACAACACATTTATCTTGCTATCAAGCTCTGAATAGTACAATGGTGGAGGTATAAATATGAAGGAACAAAAGCAAACCGGTTACTTGAGAAATATCAGCATTTTATATCAGCATGTAATATATTTTTATATTTATCCACAAAAATGATTATTATAATTGCGTCTAGATTATTATCTATCTATATTTTCTGTAGTTAGAAAATAAACATAATTATATTTATATAAAAGTGTTGTTGAGCATGGGCGGGTCGGCCCTCCGGGCTGAGCCCATTTTGCCACCTCTAACTGTCAGCATTTTATATCAGCATGCCATAGGTTTTTACATCTATCAACAAAAAAAAATTCTTATAGTTGCATCTAGATTACTATCTATCTATATTTTCTATATTTAGACAATAAACATAAGAAAAAAAAAGTGTTGGCGGCGAGGTGGGTGGGCCGGCCCTCTGGGCCGAACCCATTTTACCACCTTAACTGTCAGCATTTCATATAAGCATGTAATAGATTTTTATATCTCCACAAAAAAGATTCTTATAGTTGCGTCTAAATTACTATCTATATATGTTTTCTATAGTTAGACAGTATACATAAGGAAAAAAATAAGTTAGCCGAGCTAACTCGCCTGTTTGGCGGGCGGGGAGGGCCGGCCTGTCGGGCCGATCCCATTTTGCCACATATATCTGTCTGCATTTTATACCGGCATGTAATAGGTTTTTATATTTATCCACAAGAAAAAGTTTCTTATAGTTGCCTCTAGATTACTATCTATCTATGTTTTATATAATTAGACAATAAACATAAGAATAAAAAAAAATGGTTGGTGCGCTGAGTGGGCCGGCCCTCCGGGTCGAGCCCATTTTGCCATCTCTAACCGTCAGCATTTTATATCAGCATGTAATATATTTTTATATTTATCCACAAAAATGATTCTTATAGTTGCGTCTAGATTATTATCTATCTATGTTTTCTGTAGTTAGACAATAAACATAAAAATAAATATAAAAAAGTGTTGGTGAGCATGGGCGAGTCGGCCCTCCGGGCTGAGCCTATTTTGCTACCTCTAACTGTCAACATTTTATATAAGCATGTAATAGGTTTTTATATCTATCAATAAAAAAAAAATTTCTTATAGTTTCTTCTAGATTACTATCTATCTATATTTTCTATATTTAGACAATAAACATAAGAAAAAAAAAGTGTTAGCGGGCCGGCCCTTCGGGCTGAACCCATTTTACCACCTTAACTGTCAGCATTTCATATAAGCATGTAATAGATTTTTATATCTCCACAAAAAAGATTCTTATAGTTGCGTCTAGATTGCTATCTATATATGTTTTCTATAGTTAGGCAGTATACATAAGGAAAAAATATGTTGGCCGGGCTAAATCGCCTGTTTGGCGGGCGGGGAGGGCCGGCCCAACGGGATGTAATTGATTTTACCGGCATGTAATTGATTTTAATATTTATCCACATATATCCACTATTTTTCCACATATATCTGTCAGCAATTTTTACCGGCATGTAATTGATTTTAATATTTATACACAAGAAAAAGTTTCTTATAGTTGCCTCTAGATTACTATCTATCTATATTTTATATAATTAGACAATAAACTTAAAAAAAAAAAAAAACTCTTGGTGTGCTAGGTGGGCCGGCCCTCCAGGCAGAGCCCATTTTGCCATCTCTAACTGTCAGCATTTTATATCAGCATGTAATATTTTTTTTATATTTATCCACAAAAAAGGTTCTTATAGATTCGTCAATATTATTATTGATTTATGTTTTCTATAGTTAGACAATAAAGATAATAATAGATATAAAAATAATTAATCCTGATAGTTATAATAATTAAGCCCAATAGACATAAAAATAATAATTATTAATATGCTTAACAATTTCCCATGCAGAAAGTAGTGAGCAATATTAAATTCTGAATCTTTTTCCACCTACAAAGTTCAAAATTCAAATTTAAAAAATTTAAATTTTAAATATTTTCTCACCCAATAGACATAATAATAAATATTATTAATAGGCTTAATAATTTTCTATGTAGAAATTATAAAGTAGTGAGAAACATGCATAGAAGTCTGTGCACATTCTCCAAGTAATAGCTTCTAGGTAATCATTCACGACATAGGAAATTGTGTTAATTAACTCTTACATCAAAAAAAATGAAAGTTTAATTTCTTTCTAATATATTTAATTTTAAAATTTAAAATTCAACATGATAATAAAATTAATTATATATACTTTTAAAAAATAATTTTTTACTCTTTTAATTTATATTGTATACATACATATATATTTATATATATATGGGCTTATCATTTCTCATGCTGCCGGAGGTAAAGTTATCTCCTGCTACTAAATTATAACAGTACAAAAATGGATCAATGATAATAAAAGAAGAGAGAGAAAAAAGAATCATAACCATTCAAAGGTGAATCAATTAATATAAGGAAATAAATAAATAAAACGACGTAGTTTTGGGGTGGCCGGAGATAAACTTATCTCAAGTTGCCGGAGAAATATTTTTCCCTACATATATAAACATATATATATATATATATATACATTTAAAATATTTATCTTAAGTATTTTTTAAAAATTTCCTTGTACGAAATTTTTTTTCCTTTTTGTATCATTTTTTTAAGTTAAGATTTTAATTTACTTTATTTTAAAGTATATTTTTATAATTTTAAATATTTTCCATTTAATTAATATTTTTTATTATAATTAAATTTATTTTATACATATCTTTTTTCAAGTTTTATAATTAATTCTAATAGGTATAATAATTAAGCCCAATAGACATAATAAAAACTATCATTAATATGCTTAATAATTTCCCATGCAGAAAGTAGTGGGCAATATTTAATGCATAATTTTTTCCCACCTCTCAAGTTCAAAATTCAAATTTAAAAAATTTAAATTTTAAGTATTAAATATCCCCCCAATAGACATAATAATAAATTAATAGATTTAACAATTTTCTATGCAAAAAATAAAGGGAAACATGCGTACAAATCTATGCACATTCTCCAAGTAATAGCTTCTAGGTAATCATTCGCGATATATGAACTTGTGTTAATTACATTCTTACATCAAAATAATGAAAGTTTAATTTCTTTCTAATATATTTAATTTTAAAATTTAAAATTCAACATGATAATAGAATTAATTATACCCACTTTTAAAAAATAATTCTTTTCTCTAATAATGTATATATATATATATATATATATATATATATATATATATATATACATTTAAAATATATTTATCTTAAGTATTTTTTAAAAAGTTTCTTGTACGAATTATTATTTTTTTGCATCATTATTTTAAGTTAAGATTTTAATTTAATTTAAAATAAAATTATTTTTTTTTTTTTAATTAATAATTTTTTATTAAAATTAATTTTTTTTTTATACATATCTTTTTTCCAATTTTATAATTAACTCTAATAGGTATAATAATTAGGCCCAATAGACATAATAATAACTATCATTAATATGCTTAATAATTTTCCATGCAGAAAGTAGTGGGCAATATTAAATGCTAAATTTTTTTCCACCTCTCAAGTTCAAAATTCAAATATAGAAAGTTTAAATTTTAAGTATTAAATATTTTCCCTCCCAATAGACATAATAATAAATTAATAGGCTTAACAATTTTCTATGCAAAAAATAAAGAGAAACATGCATAGATGTCTGTACATATTCTCGAAGTCCCATGTCTAAATCCTCAAAAGTTTTCTAAACTTCTTTAAGACTCAAGGTACTCCATTCATGCCACGAAGAGGTGGTTGAAATTAATGGTTGAAATTTTTGTCCTGAATCGTCGCTCGCAGCTCAGCAATATCAATCTCTTTGGTGTTCTCCGGTTTGCTGTAACCAGTGACGGGGTCTAGGACCCATGAATCCTTCTTAGAGGTTGCCACCTTGTCTTCCCCTGACTTGGGTGCTATCTTACCGCTGATTGAGGGTGCTCCTTGTAACACCCCGTATATATATCCGGTAATGTTATCATAATATCGTATTAAGCTGCGCTTAATTAAAAATGCGGAATTACTTTTTATTTTCAATTATGATGCCATTAACATTACCAACTTGCTTAATAATCAATTAATAAAATATCGTCTGTATGTAATTGCAATAAAACAACTAACTGAAATACCTCATAACATAGATAATATAAGTGTGGCTCTAGTCACGGAACTACAACAATGTAGACCAGACCATCTAACAGTTTATACAACTCCAATCTAAAAAGTACTAACAGAAAGTGTCATGGACAATCCCCATGCTCACTCCAATAAGGCAACATGCCCAACATCAGTCTCAACAACAACATATCATAAATAGCGAAAAACATAAACAGCATCCCAATCCAGTCATGCTAACATAAAGCAGTAAAACATAATCAGCTAAGCTCCGGCCTCCTGTCGCCTAAGGCATCATTACTCATACTATCTGATCCTGAAATAAGCATTCCCCAAACGTGGGGTAAGATCTCTAATCTAGAAATCTCAGTAAGTCAGTGAGTCCTCAAGGATCTTCCACCCCAAGCTCACTTACATGTGCAATATAAGTTCAAAAGCAGTTTATCATTTATCATTTCTAAAACAATGCAATGCAGCAGATAATCATGCCATGTGTGTCAATACTAATCTACTGGCCAGAGACAGTGCAGGTATACGTCTATCACCTACACACCGTGCAAGTACCACTTGCATTCACCCCGGTACACCGTCTTGTATGGCGCTACATACTCAGACTTCCCATCAAGATGAAACAACACATGCATATTAAAAGCCATTACATGTAAAGTTCAATCAACATATAAAAATATCCAAAAGCATGTACACAGCATGCATAAACCATACCCCCATGGGACATGGTGGAACCACAACATGGCTAAACCGAGGACACGAAAGCTTACCTCTATGCTAGCTATCCAATGCCACAAGCTCAAAGTCCAATCACAGCAGATCACAATCTGATATGGACCAAATATAAATCAATAACATGTACCACATGCATACAAATTAAAGACAACGCCTTTTCATTACGCTTTATGTCTTAAGGCTTCTCACCAAGCCATAAGCCCTTAATCACTTGATTCTGACTTAGTTTAATTAAAACAGAAGTTCAACTTCATCAATCTAGGGTCCACAAACCCCCAATAGCCTACTGTCCTCACAGCACAGCTACTGTTCTTCGAAATCCCAGAATATCCGGATATTCCTCGGGACCATATCCGGATATGCAATATCCGGATATCTCACTGGACATATCCGGATATGCAATATCCGGATATCCAGAATCCCATATCCGGATATCTAATATCCGGATACTCAAAACCCATATCCGGATATCACATATCCGGATATTCATCGGGAACATATCCGGATATTTCATGACAGAATGCAGAAAATGCATTTCGTGAAGATATCCTTCCAAGGTTCCATTTTTAACACTTACTTACGTTAAAGCATGCATCTTTATACTGATTAAGGTCCACACCCCAGTTGGTTACTTGATTAACCCTTTAAACATGCAAAGATCACACCTTTAATCCATTAAAACACAAGCTCAAGGTAGGTACAACTCACCAAAGCTCAAAACAGAGGTTGGAGGTGCTCTTGGAGCTCACAATCAGCTCCCAAGGTGCTGACTTCAAGGGTGCACGAAAATACCACCCAAACAAGGATCTTTCTTCACAAAGGAAGCTCCTTGAAGCCTCACAAGCCAAGAACAACACTCCTCAACAAGAATGCCACCAAACCAGAAAACAACTCAGCTCCCACAGCCACCACAACTCAGAAAAGGTGCTCACCTTTCACTCACAAAGATGATTCCCACTCACCTAAGGTGTTTTAGTGAAGAAAAGGAGAAGAAAGGCTACAAGGGAGGTTACACAAAGGTGGAGAAGGCCAAGGCAGCAGCCACCAGCTCCAAACTCACGTAGAGAATGTAATATGGCCTAGGGTTTAGTGCCCACTAAGGCTTATATAGTGATTTAACAATTAAACACACAATATTAACTTTAATTGCTACGCTTAGCATTTTAATCCCAAAGATTTATCATATTTTAATCCCAATGAAACTACATAATTTTCTAAGATTTATCATATTTTTCTTATAATTTTCTGAGCACCTTTCCGGTACGCGTTTTTCCAAGCCAGTACCGGTTTCTAGCACCAGTTCTCATTATCTGGACTTGAAACTCGTTTTACAAGTCCTACATATCATTCTAGTAATTATCATGCACTTACTTTAATTTTCCGGGACACTTTTTTGGTACTCATTTATACCGACTAGCAGAACCGGTATCTGCACTTTTCTTCCGAAAAGCGACTTTCAGCATTATTACTCACTTACTATAATTATTAAAGCCTCATAATAATTATTAGGTTCAATTATGGAATCATTTCCTAATTTTGCATAATTTATTAATTAAATTCCTTAATTAACGGTGCGGGTTCTTACACTCCTCCCTTGTAGCGCTTTGTGACATTGTCGCGTACCCACGCCTGTTCCCCACACAAAGTCACACATCTTAATCCAATTAGTAATAATTATTAAGAAAACCGCATAGAACAAAAAGAAAACTTCTTCTTAGCCAAAGTAGATATAACTAGGAAAGACATGGTTAAAGTATGATAAGAAAATATTGCGCTACCTTGTAAGAGCGTTGGAGAATCCATCAGCGATGAGCAGAGGGAGCCTTCTGAGCATAGTGTCTCATTCTTAGAAGTGAGGATTATAGTGTGGGATACATGAGAAAATTGAGAAAAAAAATCTTGGATAGAAGTAATACTAAACAACAAAATATCAATCAATTTCGATTTTGATCTCGCTTGACATCTTTCTTTGAAGTCTACAGCAAAATATCTGGTATATTTAAATCGAAGATAATCCTTGTCGTATATATTGTATTTGTTATTTCAATTTTCCCTATGCAATTAAGAACACATAAAAGTGGGAGATACAGAGAGACAAAGTAGATTATAACAGAGTTAAAAATAATTAACAAATATTAAAAAAAAAATTAAACCCTTAATCCTCGCACTGGACTATTATGATGTTCTGAGAAGATTGATTATTTGCCAAAAATGTTTGCACTCCATCCACATATTGCTCCTACAAAGTGCACTCAAGCTTGTGACCCCTATTTTTGCAGAAGTTGCATGCACTATTTTAATATATCAAAATGAAATTTAACAAATAAATAATAAATATTGCACAAACATAACATAAATACGTGAGATTGTCAAGCTATAACACAACCATTTTTGCGGACCTGCAAAGAACCCTTGAGAGTAGCATGGATCTTTCCTCCCTACAAAATATTTACATTAGTATATCAATCAAAACCAAATCAAGCAACAATTGAGTTGCCAAAAATAAATCAAAAACTATTACATGTTCATCTAACAGAACCATATCCACATTATCATAAAAAAAATTCACGCTGAAAATTAGGAACCTTCCAACTCTTTACCTCGCTAACTTTAATCCTCCAGTCCTCCTTAGTAGGATTAAGATCCTTTACGAAATCATATTTGAATGTCAAATATTATCCCACCCTTTTTTAATATTTTTATTTTCGAATAATAAAAGATTTCTAAAAGAGGTAACTTTTCAAACTGATCTCAAGTGTGAACACAAAGCTGAGAATGAAGGATAGAGCGACACGTCAGTAAAGTTTCCAATGGTGGGTTTAAGATTCTATATATTAAAATAGATAGATGGGTTGGCAATTAGTTTTTTGTGTAATAAGAATATTCCCCCTCAATAATAATATAGTTTTGGAAAAATTTTAAAAACTCCCTATAAATTTTCTCTAGAATCACTTACCCCAAAATTTTAAATCATTTACACCCTTACTTAAAGTTTCTTTATCACTTATCCTCCCAACTTATGGAAATAAGTGATAAAGAAACTTTAAGTTAAAAGATAAATGATTCAAAATTTCGAGAAGGAGTAAGTGATTATGGGAAATTTTACATAAGTTTTTTGAAGTTTTTCCTATAATATTATTGAGGGAGGATATTCATCAACATTTATTATTGAGGAATATGTTTTGATACTGAGAATAGTAAAAAAAAAAAAAAAAAAAAAACACATATGCACACTATTTATTATCGGGGGAAACATTTATTTTACTAAAATATTCAACGATGACATTAATATGCACACGACGTAATTTCGTTATAAAACGGACCTCATAAGTGAAATACTCTTCGCGAAAGATGACAAAACATATTCTCCAAAAAAAAAATGACAAAACATATGTCCAATTTTTTCGTTCTTCGGAATCTCCGAAGTTAAACTTGCGTCTTTTTCAATTTTCTTTAAACTAGAAAAAATACAGAGGCACAAAATTAATTTAAATTAAAGAAATTAATTTACTGTTATTTAAATAACAATTTATGAAAATATAACAATTTAGAATCAATTGACGAATTTATTGTAATCAGACACACCTAAAATCTGTGTGACCACTCTCGCCCAAAAAAGACGCATCACCCTGTTAGAACACGCCTAGGAAAGATGTGACTAGTCTTGCCTAATTTGGGCAAGACCCAGTATCATTCACGTGGTGACACGTGGCTCAAAAAGTTAATAATTTGATCGTAAAACTTCGGAAGGTCGTAATTTTTTATTTGAATGTCCAAATTAGGTACTTCTTTAGGGGATGCATAGAATATAGACACAAGGCCAAACAAAGAAACAACCATTAAGAAATTAACAACCATTGAGATAAGGGAAATTCCCTTTCGAATTTTGTGAGGAGCAACCTCATGTTATAGACACATCAAGTTTTGTGCATTATTTTTTTAAATGGTGGGCCCCACGATTTGGTGTCTCTGCAGGAAATAGGGAACTTCTATTATTGCAGGAGAAGTTATATGTGTGTGTGTGTGGGGGGAGGGGGTAAAATATTTCTCCAGTCATTGGAGATAAGTTATCTCCAGTGACCCCCAAAACTACGTCGTTTTGAATTAACGAAAGGTGTTTCTGTAATTTTGTTTTTTTTTTGTCATACGAATTTTACCGAAACACCCTTTATTAATTCCCCTAAAATTACGAAAAAAAACCCTTCATTAATTCAAAATGACGTAGTTTTGGGGGTCATTGGAGATAACTTATCTCCATTGACTAGAGAAATACTATACCCAATATATATATGAAGATGTCATTCATGATTCTCTGAAATTTAGTGGGAGCATTCTTTAAATTGAAAGGCATTACTTTCCATTCGTATTGCCTAAACGGAATAGTAAAAGATGTCCTGTAACATTCACTGTTTTTAATTATGAGGATTGAACTCCTTAAAGAGAATGGTTCTTCTAAATATATAAGGGAATTAACAGAAAACTAATTCAAGAAGAATTTTATAATTTTCTTAACAAAGCAAAGTTAAACATTCCTTTCTTTGATTGGTTTCAAGCTTATTCTGTCCAGACATTGATTATCCATTCAAAGCACCACAATCCGCAAACACCATCACTGTTTGGCATCTAAAGGAAGGACAAAATTGTCAAGTCTGAACTTCCTCCTACTGTTCCTTTCTAACTCCCAAACTCTCGCGGCGACAAAAAACAGACCTTTTTTTGGTTCACCTTTCAAATTTAAGGACGAAAGTGAACAAATCTCTTTTACAGATATTAAAAATCTTGTAAAACAATCAAATTATACCAAGAAATATCTTAAAATCTTAGGTGAAAAACTTAACAAATCTGTTAAGGATGAACCTTCATCTTCACTTTCATCTTCTTCAAATAAAATTTTAGAAAAATCATTATTCAAACCTTTCAAAATGACTGAACAACTTAAGAAAGATTTTGCGAAATTAAAATCTTTTCCTAAAACCAATCAAAATCAAAATGAATTATTAAAAATCATTAATGAGAGATTAGTCTCTCTGACTGTTCCAGATACTCCTCAACATTCCTCCAAATCTCATCAAGAGACTCAATAGTCCCATACACCTCTCATTCGTCAACCCTCTAAACAAGTCAAAACTTTAAGTGAATGTGATGAATCCAATGAATCATATAATAATTCTGAAATCAAAATTAATCTCATAACTGGTAGCACATTTCTCATAATTCTGAAAAGTGAGGGTGGGTTTCCAAGAAGACCATGTTTGGTAGCACATTTCAAAAAATTTACCCGGGAAAGTAATTTTCTCGGTATTCCATTTATGTGTAAATTATTATTGAAAATACTATCTAAGAATACCATTCCACATATGGTATTCTGAAAGGAATATTCACTAATTTTTTTGACAAAAATAGCCCTAGCTTTGCTTTGTGAAAACAGATCCGGTCCCGCTCGAACAGCGGCTCATTCAGCCCCACCGTCGCCATCCCATAACCCGCCTTCAACAGGTCATCGTAGTCGCACGTGCCACCCACCGAGTCACGAGGATCCGCCATAGCGTAGTAATTGGCGTGCGCAGATCACCGTTCGAAGAGGGAGGAAGAAGAAGACGACGACGATGGAGGTTGAGAAGTATATGAGGAGTAGTGAAAGGTGACTATTGAAGAGACTGTGAAGAGAATGCTTAATATTAACACATTAAGTGACATTTCCTAGTGAAGAAGAAGAATAACAACAACAAGAATTATGCTTTATGGTTATGTGCAACCAACGAGTGATTATATTCATGTCTGATCTAATCACTAATTTGGAATAGGACCAAATTTCTAATTGTAACTATTTTGATTTTTAATTTTGAAAACACAAGCTTGTTTGAATAAAACCCAACAAACAGAAATGGTGTTTGAAGAAAAGAGTGAAGGTGGGGTTATTTTTGTAAAATTACCCCATATTCCCATTAATATTTGACAATTAACCAAATATAGATCAGCAAACTTGAGCAAATAATCCTGGTAATATTTTGGTCTAGCAAACAATTCTTTGGTAACATTCCCAGAAAATTCATTTTCCCATCATATTCCTGGGAATTATAATTCCCAAACAAAAAATATTATCCTATACCAAATGCCCACTAAGGTCCTAAAATCCGGTCATGATAGGTAGTGTATGCTTCACACAATCATGACACATGATTGTGGTAAGCAACATGTGTTTAACACATGACGATTTAAGAAGACCCACAAATTTACTTACAAAATCTTAAACAATTCTCTTAGGAAATATTCTCAATTATTTATCTAGATTTAAATCATCCCAAATAATTAACTTAAGAGTAAATACCCTTTTTGGCCCTCAGTAAATTTCACGATGCCCGCTTTAGTCCCTAGCAAATAAAAAGGCCCATTGTGGTCCCAAAAAAAATTCAAAATAGACCATTTTAGTCCTTTTAGGGACTAATATAGGTCTTTTTTAATTTGTGAGGGACCACGATTTCAACTAAATGGGTCCATTTTGAATTTCTTAGGGACCATGATGGGCCTTTTTATTTTCTAGGGACTAAAGCGGGCATCGTAAAATTTGCTAAGGACCAAAACGGGTATTTACTCTTAACTTAATTATTAATCTAGATTTTAAGAATCATAATAATTGTCATTTATGAGGATAATTTGAAATCAAAATAATTGCCATAACGATCATTAAGCATTAAATTCGTTACACATATATTTTGAAAATTAGAATTTATATCATACTGCCCATTAATCCATGGCTATTTGACCATTTTGCCCCTCATTAATTAATTAATAACCATTTTGCCCCTGATTCGAAATTATCTACCAATCTGCCTC